ATGACATCGCTCGCACGTCTTAAATGAACATACTGTAAGTATCTCTCCTGGTAAGTATACATATAAATGCTAGCACTATATCTTCGGCTGTATACCTTCCGCAATTGATCCGCTCTTCTAATCTGACAAATTAAATTTAAAATAGATGATTATGAAAAATCTCGAATTTTATAAAAAGTAGTATTGTAGGCGATAGCTCGTCAATGGAATCGATATATATATTTATATATATATATATATACACATTTATTATTATACATAAAACTACTTAGATTTGTTTTATTACTAAGTTGAATCACTAGTTTAAGGCAATTTATATCATAGCGCCTCTGTAGCAATGACTTGAGCCGTGAAACCCGATTATCGTGACCTGCTGTACACCTGTATAAGCTCGTTTTTATTGATAATGCAATTTTTTATAAAATCCCTTCTGCTTCTTCTGGTATTCATACAAACTTTTAAATAGAAATATTTTCAATAACTGCTTTTGAACTATTTTACGAAATTTCCTTGCTTATGAAACTTTTATTTAATTTTACCCAAGTGCACAATAAATTATACAAATTATGTAACCTATTATTCAATTTTTTTTTTTTTTAATGAACGACAGAAGCTTTTGTAAGTTAAAGTAATTATAATTATTTATCGCTGATCAATGACTTTAAACCCAGTAGTCTGTAGTCAGTGCTACATATATTTTTTTTCCACCACATAATAAAATACTGCAAGATAACAACAATACCTAATGATACACAAAATATCTTGATGAGCAAACTTGTTTTTCTTTTTGCTTTCACGTAAAAAACAAAACCGAGTTTGAATTGAAATGTAAACATAATATATATGCATTTGACTAAGCTTTGTTTGCCCTTACTATATTTTTTTTTTTTTAATTCAAGTATGCAAAATTTTACCATACAAACAGAAAGTAAATGATATGAAACCAAAATCAAAAATATGATATTCAACTCAACTGTACGTAAGTCAACATGTTATGCATACAATAGACGAAGCTTCGACTCCCACCTTTAATAATTAGCTCGTACTCTCTTTTTCACCCGTAAATAACAACAAAAGGTGAAAAAAAAGAATTTCACCAACAAAATTTTTTGTAATTTAGGTTTAGAAGGGAAAGACACGCGGCAGATGTTGAAAAAGGCGATGGCAAGGAGATCAAGGACGTCGAGACCAGTTCACTCGTGAGGAAGGTCTCCTCATCCGGAGAGGAGATAGGCTCCCAGCGAGTACGACCCAGCAAATGGGGTCGACTTCTTGGTTAGTAAAAATTTTTTTTTTTTAATTTTTTGCTTCTTAGGGACACGACTTTTTTTTAACTTTGTAGGACGATTGGTTTCAGCCTTCGTTAAAGAAACAAATATATATGAGCGTACTTGGCTGTATTCATGATTATAAAATCAATAGCAGGGTTACGTAATATGAAATTCGTAGTAGGCCAGTAAAGTTTTGAAACTCTGTTTTATGTGGTTCAGAATAAATAGACAGCTTTTATTTATGTAAAAAATAATGCAAATTATTTTCTTCCCGTTTTATCAAAGATTTTGAAATGGTTAACAAAAATTTTAGGTTTTAAAATTTAATCTTTTGAAATGTATATAAAAATAATGCAATGTGCTATTTAAGTAAAATAAATGTAATACAATAACATTCAGAGTATACAAACAATAATTAAGTACTACAATCGGAAATATCTGTATGAAAAAAAAAATTAAGAAAGCACAAATCTATGATATTATAGACATAAAAAAAGGACGAATGGCGAAGGCGAAAAAGCCACCGGAAGAGGATTTATCGGACTCGAAAAGTATGTTTGATAATTTTTTTAGTTCAGGTTGCGATGTAATTTTTCGAGGCACCACACTTTATTTGGATCACTTTGCGTAATCAGCTAAAAGTATTTGCTAATTTGCTTACTCGTAAATTAATCACAATAATACAACTGTAATGTATTTGAAAAATTATTCTAGTTACATGAGTTGGTTTTTTTTTCCTTTACACATTGTACACCACAGTAGAACGAGTTGAGGTACCAGTTGTAAGTAATTAATTGCACGTTTGATTTTTGACGGTAAAAAGAGTACCTGAATTGCGCACTTTGAAAATAATACGAAAGAGTGTCTCAATTTCATCCATATTAATTATAAACACGCAACATATGGAATTCTTCACTTGATCCTGATACGCTTACATTGTTTTTCAACTTCCTTGGCATACAATAAGAGGAAGATTCCATTTTATCGACCAAAGGGTTGTAAGAATGTATATTTTATTTTTATTGCAAAACCTTCCAATAAAAAATAGAGTCTTGGGTTAGCAAACTAGACATAAGATTGCCCCTGTGTATATGCTTATTATACATAAACACGTAATGCCTGATGCAACTCCATTGCAAAACAATAACGTGCGTGCTACTCTTCTTTTTCCACTTTTTGGCATATTTAAATAAAACGTAAAATGAGCAAATTGAATGAATTTCACCAGTAACAATCAAGTTTAGCTAATGTGTTGGAAAAAAGAAATCACCGAGGGAGCGATTGTCCCATTGTTAAACCATCATGATAAGTGAAGCGCACCATTGCAGGAAGCTCGAGCCTGGACTCGGGCAGCGACGGAGGAGGCAGTGGCCCGGAATCGTTCAAGCGCACGTTCTCACCGCGAGACCCGCGGCCCGGCTCGAGCGCGAGCACAAACAAGGTCTTCCCAAAGCTCGGCAAGCTCGGCGGCACGATAGAGGAGGACGCCGAGCCCGGCAAGGACACCGGCCAGAGCCTTGCCCTCCAAAACTCCAAGCAGCTCCAGATGCGCAAGCTCGAAAGCTACGACGGAGGCCTCATCGTGCAACCGAGCCACGAGCGCGAGATCCTCGCTGCTGTCCTCGAGGTACACGATTTTTTGCTGCCGCTGCTGTTGTCGTCCCTTGGGTCGAGGTCCACCCGTAAATCGCGTATGAAAATGAAAACGCAGGTGAAGGTGGACTTGAAGCTGGAGGTGCAGCGGGTCAACCAGCGGCTGGCCAAGATCGAGGACATGCTGCAGGCGCTGCTGACGCGAGTGCCGCCGCCCGTCCAGACGACCACGATAGCGACCTCGCCGCTGCCGAGCGTGACCTCGCCTTTCTCGCCACCGCCTCAGCCGTCACAGCAATCGTCGCCGCAGCAGGCGACCTCGAGGAACCTGAGTGCGATGGTCGCGGCCATGTCTTCCCCGTCGGGTCCAACGACGCCGCAGAGCCCGGTCGGCAGCGCGCCCGGCCAGGCCTCGGTTACCACGAGCCCCTGCCAGGAGAGCAAGCCCACGGCTGTTGGGCCGCCCCCCCAGGCCACCAGCAGTGCTCGCGAGAGGTATGTCAGTCCGGGATACGAATATAATATGGAGGTCGGAGCAAGTTCGTGCCGAGGTCTGATGGAGAGATTATTTTGTCCGAATCGGACCTTTCCCTCGAATCTTTTTTTTTTTTTTTTTTTTTTTTTTTTTTTTTTTTTTCATACCGATGACACTGCTGTTGTGTCATTATACGTGAGGTATCGATGTTGACTCGTGTATCGTGGTTGATGTCTCTCGTTTTGATTGTACTATTCTCTTTTTAACACCTACTATCAGTGCATACTAGTCGTAAGACCCAAAAGAATGTATATAATACGCAAGAATGGTACAGCGTGTGGTGGATTTTTTTTTGTTTTTTTTTTTTTTTTTTTTTTTTTTCNAATTCATAGGTATTCACATGATGACGATATTATGCGTGAATTAAAAAAAAAGAACCTCGTATTTTCAACGCTTCCACGTGCAATCTTATTTATCATCATGGAAATAACTTTATTCTTAAGCTTGACTGTTTGCGAGTCGTAAGACCCAAAAGAATGTATATAATACGCAAGAATGGTACAGCGTGTGGTGGATTTTTTTTTTTTTTTTTTTTTTTTTTTTTTCATTAATACTTTGGAGCCGAATAATGTAGTTGAAGCGTTTTCTTTAATAAATTCGTTTTTCTTCGCAAAAATATCAGCTTTAGATTCGTGTTCAGTAATTCAAAAAATAAATGGTGCCATTATTGGGTATAGTTTACATTTTTTTTGTGGTCCAGCGTTATAAACGTTTATATGTATAAGTCATGAAACTACCAATTTTATCGTAATTTATTTAATGTATATGAATATCATTTACCCCCAGAAGCATGTCAAATATCTCTATTATGTCAAAGCACTCCAATCGTTTCCACACAAAAATCCTTTTTTTTTACTTTCATTGAATAACCAAGTTAATCACTGAACGAGCTGCATATTTCAAACCAGCATGTTAACAACACACTATGATATCTTTACCATCCTTCAATACTTTTTATCTTATTTATCTAGGATGAATTTTCCTACTGTGATATAGTTTATACTTTAGTATCCTGGAATGTTTTGCCACCACGGACCCAATACCTGAGCAACAGTGACCTTTATAATAGTAACTGATGAATCAGAAGCATGAACACTAATAAATGTACCATAAATGTATTCCTGACTGTATTATAATTATCTAAATGTATAAAAATAATGATAGGAAATGAGGCATAATAATTTATATTGGAATAATCAAATATGCAGTGATTATAATGAAGCGATAAGTTGCTAGAAATTATGTTATGTCGAAGATTTGTATTTGAATCTAAAAATGCATGATCAATGTCTTACTAGTAAATATCCATCCCGATAAGTTTTATACGTCACTTGAATGTGATTAATGATGTATTAAGATCTTCTATCATAGTAATCAATTTTTTAAACGTAGAATCCTTTCTTTCACTGTAAATGCATGTTATGGACAAATGAACTGTGTATATATCAGTTTAAGAAACTCTAATTATTTTTACTCAGAAATATTATTTGAAATTACCTTATATAGAACATACTTAAATGTAATACAATTGTTTTTAGTATTTTATTTTTAGAAGATATCAAAATGATCAAGCAGTCCAATTTTTTTTTACAAAATTACAAAGAAAATAAGAAATAAATTTTTTTTTTTTTTTAATATAAATTCTCCACTAAAGGTAAAATGTGTTTACGCATAGATTTCAAATGCTATAATTAAGATTTTAAAGTAATTGGTTTATTAAAAATAATTCTAAAAATAAAAAAAGATAACATACTGTACCCAATGGACGGAATGATTGTACACATTTTTATTATTTACAAACTATTACTGTATACAAAATTTTTTTCTGGAGATAATGAATGATGACCCAAAAATATGTTGTATATTTTTTTGCACTATAATTTTGCCTAAATCAGAGCAGTTTTTATTCACATCCAATTATAATTGAGGGATTGTGCATTAAATAATGTGGTCACAATTTACTAGTCTGGGAATAAAATTCTGTGTACAATTGGTGGATAATAAAAATGTGCAAAATCCTTGTGTGCACATACAGGTAGTCTGTCAAATAAGAAATAATAAAAAACATAGGAAATTAAAACACTATTTCTTATTTAACCCGCTTTAAACAGGAATTGGGTCCTGATCAGGAACTGGGTCCGTGCTGGTATATACAAACCAAAAAGGTAAGTACTGATACGTCGATTTACAAGAACAATTCAACAGTTTATCCAACATATCCTACAGAGTTTTTTGCTTATATTTTAATTTAAAAACTTTTTAATAAATTTAAAATTTACTAACTCATCATATATATCACTATTATGCTCATATTTTTGCACTAACCTTATATTGATGCACTTTACTAACCCCAAAGGTAAGTGATTTATTGTTGAGCCAAATTAGTAGTTTTCGTACCATCGGCGCAAAGTACACTAATTCGTCCAAAGGGGCTGCTTTGCGTCTATGATAACAAAAAAAAAAATTTTACTATTTGCATCAGTTTGAGACAACACAATGAATAACACTTAAATATTTAACTTTTCATAATCTCATAAAAAACAAGGTTCAGTAATGGAATCACTTACCTTACCGTAATCGCAGAGCAGCAGATACTACTTCCTCCCTTAGTAAAACCTACTGGTTTTTCAGCGAGCCAGCTCCATCGGTGACGGACCGGTTACTACCGAAAGACCAACCGCAATCTTCCGGGTCGCCGAGCTCGCAACAATCGCCAGTCCCGAGTTCGTCGACGACAGTCCACCATCACCACCATCACCATCACCAGCCATCCCCCTCAGCCGAGCGATCGCGCGAGGCCAGCAGTCGAGAATTGCTCGAAAGACTGAGCCAGCAGGCAGCCTCAACGTCGGCGTCGTCGCCGGTGACCGGCACCGGCATCGGCGACGGCGGTGCGTGCACGAGCGGTCCGCCAGGGGGCGTCCTTGGGCCGCTGATACTGCGCAAGCGCAGAAGCAAGTCGCGGCAAAAGGGCGCAGCGCCACTGGCGCCCCTCGCCTCGCAACCGATGAGCCCGACGGAGCCAACGGAGATAACGCAAATGCTGCCCTCGGAGCCCGGGGACGAGCAGCGCGGCGACGAAAGGGGCGAGCGAGGCGAGAGGAAGAGGCCGGCACCCAGGCCTGGTCGGGATTACTTGTGAAAGTTCGTAAACGCGGCGACAAGGAGGGAGGATTTTTTTTCAAGGCTAGTGCAGCAGGTACGATCGCCCCTATTAGCGGTCGGTCTTGTGATTATTCGATTCGCGTGAAAACTTTCTTAAAAACGAACAATATTGTATATTGTATGATATTGTTGTAAGCTGCGTGTGTACATATGCATACTAGCACTTTTACTTTCAGACACACACGTTCTTACACAAATCAGGATACCAATACTTTGTATTCTGAAACTCTTGCCTTTTTAATCCACAGGTGACTCGGTATATATAAATACATATAATACTTTGTGTACGCGTGCAACGTTTTTCTATTATTAATTCATAGGTATTCACATGATGACGATATTATGCGTGAATTAAAAAAAAAGAACCTCGTATTTTCAACGCTTCCACGTGCAATCTTATTTATCATCATGGAAATAACTTTATTCTTAAGCTTGACTGTTTGAGTCATTTGATTGTTATTTATTTATTTATTTATTTTTTTGTTTTTTTGTTGAATACAAACTTATTTTTATTAATCTGGATCAATATTTTAATAAAGTATTATATATATATATACGTTTTAGTAAATTGGTAATTCGTTGAATTACATAAATGAAGAGAGCAAATAAATGCTCGAAATGCAAAAAATTACAAACTAATTACATATGATGTACTTACAGTGGACGCACTTATAGAATTCCAGTACAGTAAATTTCTTGTAACTCTATCACTTCAAAAAAGGTTGTGAATCATGAAAATTGTCCAATTATTAGTAAGACTACTTACTTTCTGCGGAGTTACAATTTTTTTTTGTTTTCGATTGAAATTGACTTTTTTTTAACATACAATGAAATTTTAGTATTATTAAAGGTGATGTTCTCGACTTAAAAATTTATTTATAATCTTTAAAAATTCAAGAGTATGATATACTTCAGAATAGCAGACACATAGCTAAATTTTTTGATTTACACAAAATTATGTTATCAATACGGAAATTACTAACATGTAGTGGATATAGTACAAACAAGCCATTCGACCACTCAAGGATTGTATTTACTTGTCTATCAGTGATTTTACCTTTTTTTCTAGTTGAACATGGTTCGAGTAATATTTGTTATATTTTCTCAACCATCTCGTCGAGAAGACCACCTTAAAGCTTTAATTTTACACTTTACTATTCAGCCGAGTCTCTCTTTAATTTCTAGCATCATCATCACTACAATTATTATTATTATATAAAATGTTGTAGGATCATTACATAATATTAATACATCAGTCGGCATTAATATTACTTGTATATATAAAAATCACCCTTGCACGTGGAAACTTGCAATAAAAAAACACGTATATATACCTAACGGCTTTTCTACCAGAAAACTTAGACTAGACGTGAAAACAAAAAAATTGTACATTACTGTATTTTACAAAAATTAAGAAGCTATATATTCTCTCAATCGCTTGCTATTCACGTGCAAATGTAAAATCTAATGTCTTTGTTTTTCTACTGATGAATCTGACGAAACAACATAACAAATAAGGCTCTCTAAAAATACCTTTTATTTGCCTATACCACATGAGCTAAGCGAGGGACACTCGTAAATATTTGCCTCCTCTTTATTCCTGCCGAACTCTTGCCCCGTGTCTCCCTTCGACATACACTTGATGATTAACTTGCCGATTATTGAAACGGGAAAAAAGTGTACATTGCCAAGCAAAACGCATGCACTCGTGAAAAAAAGCTTATTAACTGATTTATACGATAAAACGATGAAAGCCAGATATTTGTTAGTGACTCTTCGAGTGTTACATGCGGATCGAAAAAATATATATTTATGCTCGTGACAAAAGCTTCAAAACATTGTAGCCCTCAATTTTTCTCTCCGTTAATTTTGAGATAAATTGAAAAACAAAAAAAAACAAAAATTTGAGCGCGCATAAGCGAAAAACAGTACGTTCTGCCAAATGAAAGTCGAGGACAAGGAATACAAATGAGTTGGGTCTTGGAAATGATTAGTTAATATATACGATTGCACTTTCGTTATATTTACGATACACATCAGTTGAACGATTAATAATATTTTAAAATATATTTTTACTGGTATGTGGCTACAACTTTAACACCATGTTACATTTTACTGCGCGTTAATTATAAAAGCTGGTGACGCTTTGTTGTAGGCCCAAAAGAAATAATCGTATTTTGAATAACGATAGTATATGCATAATAGGCTGCTTCTTGGAAAGTATACGTTTATAATAATTCATATCAAATTGATAATCGAGAGTGCAAACGGATATATATTAAATAACGTAACATTTTGTTGAAAAAAAGTAATTAAAAACCTAAAATTAACGTCACACACAAAGCAGAGTTTGCATGCACGCGTGCGTATCAGCGCAAGATTTAACGAAAAAAAAGGCAAAGCAAAAATATATATACATGGAAAAGAAAAAAAAAAAAAAAAAAATTAAAGCTTCGTAAGTATATGAAAACGGCTTTTATTCTTCGAAGGACATCGAATATTGTTAAATAAAATTATAGGATATGTGTGGGTGCTAAAGTGCAGGGTGATACTCATAAGATCAAAAGTTAGAGGGAGAGCGAGATATACACTAGGTATGTGTAGGTGCCTGCCAGAGAACGTAAAATAAAATAATAATAGTAATAGTTATAATAATAAAAATAATTATAATAGTAATACTAATAACGGAGTCGTACAGAGGAGACCCGACAGTTTCGAGATTTTTTTCTTTTGGTTAATGAGAAAGTGTGCGTGTGTGCACAAAAATTACTGATTAACCATCTAAATTGGTCACTAAAAAAAAGTTGTTGAATCAGTGCGGCGTTTTAAAAATTAATTCCTCGACCACTGATGAATATCATATCATTATTTATTAATATTTAATTTTTTGTTAAATCTAAAGTTATTATATTAATAACTGCTACTCCATGTATATTGTAACGTTTAAAATTTATTTTTGAAATCGTATAAAATTATTGAAATAATCTTGTTTTTGTATTGAATCTCGATTACCAAAGACAAAATTATAAATAAAAAAATTATATTATTATATCTGAGATCCTATATCGAATGTTACACAATTGACAAGTGAAGCGTGATATATTTTGGCCTAAGAAAGTCTCGTAACTGTCAATCGAACTGATGTAAAAAATAAATAAATAATAATAATAAAAAACTAAATGCTGTACGAAAGACGAAGAAAGTACTCTCGTTCATTTTTTACACTCAGATGCGATAAGAAAAAAAATTACGAGGCTCGTGTTAATTAAAAAAGTTATAAATGATTTGAGTGCAACGCACTTTGCGAACAAAATTGTTTAAATACGAAATAAAAAAGTAATTTAAATAATGAAGGCATCGTATTACGCGCTTCGCGTAAACACTGCAAATGTAAAATACAAAAATTATTATAAATAAAAAAATGGCGAAATAGTTCAAGTGTTAACTTTACACAGATACACTCAAACACGCTCGTTATTAGAAACAAGAAATATAAAAGCAAAAAATGCTACTACACAGTCGTAAATATTGCGGGCGATAAAAAGAGAGTTTGTAAATTTCTATAGAGGTTATATATAAATATAAAAATTTCCTGCAGTTAATTACCAAATTGCGGAACGCTTTGGACATGCAAATTTCTCTCAGCACAATCAGCTTGTCGGCGAGAATGGTAATTTTCTTATTCAATACTTCCTTACAATTTTTTCCTCAAAGCTATGATTGTTCAAGAGGAACTTTTCATACGCATACATTCAATGACATTTTTTATTTTATTTCAGTTTTTATTCCTTGATAGTTTACTATATTTTAATAAATTACGAAAATTTGCGTGGATATTTTAAGGAAGATTCAGCCAAGTTCTTTAATTTGCTATATAATATTGAAGCTCACCTAAATATTGTTAAACTCATTTTTTTTATTTTTCTTGTACACAAGCACCTAGTATTGCAATCCAATCAGGGGAGAAAAATGCTATAATGTTAAGTGAATTAAAGCAATTCTTAATATTGAGATGATGTGAGGAAAAGTTGAAAAAATAAATATAGACTCTTCAAGTTATAAGATCCTAAGGCGCAGGTCCGCTTGTTCATTATGTTTGAGAAAAATATTTTGTATTTCACAATTTGTGCCGAATTTTAAGATACAAATTCGCTACAAAAGTCAATTTACATTTAATTAAAGAGAAAATAAATCGGGTAGCTCGAATCGACCAATTCCATAATGAGAAATGTTTTATGGTTATACATATAATAAAATTTATAAATGTTATAAATTCAAATTTAATCTTTGTTATTCGGAAGAAATACACATGAAATATATAGATAACATCATAGAAGATGTCTTCTTCATCGACTCGACCGTGTAAGGAATGTATGAAAAATTATTTACCATAAATAAATTGTTGCATAATACGTAGATTAAGTATTGACATTTGAAGTAAATAATTTAAACCTACTTGTATTATCTAAACACTTTTTATTGATGCATTATAATTTTTCTAAATTTTTTCAGATGATTTTCATTTTTTAAGCTTTAACTTATACTTGCTATTTCTTGATCAAATCGAGAAACAGCAAAGTCGTGAAATAAAGTCGATTTAAAAAAAAAAAAGAACTTCAAAAGAAAAAGAAAAACGACAAAAGTACTATTAGAAATGCAGATAATCCACTAACTGCGCACGTACACAAACTAATTTAAATAAGCCTAAATGCAAGCGTATATATTAATGATAACCGACCCTGTTAGAAAATTACTACATAAGCTGGCTAGAAACTCGTCAACGTATATGCGTAAATGGGCTTATAACATGTTGACGAGTTTCTAGCCAGTTTATGTAGTAACGTTTCTACGTACATGCGTCAATGGGCTTATAACATGTTGACGAGTTTCTAGCCAGTTTATGTAGTAACGTTTCGACCAGGGTATAGAAGATTCATAAAAAAAAAAAAAATGAATCAAGTGACAATTTTTGAAAATCGAGGGAGTGTACTTTATTTCTTAAAAAAAAAAAAAAAATAAA